GCAAAGCACCCTTCCTGTCTGCCCTGCCACACAGAGACTGTGCAGATCCCAGTCCCAAAATGATGCTGCAAATGTATTCCCTCATTTCCTCACCTGCCCTCTGAACTGCACAGCAGAGGGGGGAGCTGGCTGTCACCTGTCTGGGGCTGTAGCACCAGCTCTAGGACACACAGAGAGTGTGGGGCTCACTGTGAGAAGGGCTGGCTGCTCCCTCAACCTGCAGTGCTCCACTCCAAAGCCACATCCTTCAATGCCTTGGGCATGACTGGATGAATTTTGCCTTTAACACACCAGTGATGCTGCTGCAGGCAGTGACCTACCCTCTTAAATCGATGAAGATGACTTGGAGGGAAAAATGCCACTGGTGATGAGTTTAGAAAATAAAAAGCACATTGTTGGGATAGTGTTTGAGCCTGTACTATAGAGGGGAAACAGATGATCTTTCAGATCAGACTAGCAGCGACTTAAAGACACTGTAACGTTTCAATGCTGAATTCCAGACAGCTCTGAGAGAGGAAACTGCCATTTCCTATCCCATAATAATGCATAATTACTTTAAAAATACTTCAAATGCATCCCGAGGCACAGAAAAATATCCTACATCTTGAATACAGATATGCACGGAGTACTCAGGATGAAACAGGAAAAGTGTTCTTTGAAAAGCATGCCTCATATACATTTGTTTTGCTGAAAAAAAAATTTTGGCTCTTCTAAATTAATTTTAATTGTGCAGTCAATTCATGGTGGAGTGGAAGTCTCTAGTGAGGTACAGAGAAATGCATTATATTTTCTTTACATGCAAGTGGCATTTTAAAGCATCACACAAAGAAAGAAAATTACATCTGCATCATAGATTTTGTATTTCATAGCAAAAAATTGCACTTAAATCTCATGATTTAAAGCAATGGATTAAATAATATGCATGAAAGCAGACCAGTCACCATCATTTTGAAGAAATTATCCATTTGTGGTTTCAGAAGGAACCAGGCACTTTATGGGTTGGTGTGTCAGGGAGGGCAATTAAAATTCTCAGGAGCTAATTACTTGGGATTAACTTTTAAATTCCCTGAAAAATATATCCAGGAAAAATGTTGGTCTATTTTTTTTCCTGGCAAAGCTGTTTCTTCTCACTGAAGGTAAGATCCAGGTATAATTCCCAGGGGATTGAAATGAAAACAACAGCAAGCAAACTGCCTCCACAGATGCTCATCCCCAGCCCTGCTAAACAGTGACAGTGTGCACATTTGAAGTCCTTCTGGCTTTTATCCCATCTGATTAGATTAATCCTGGGCTTAAGGAAACGTGTTAGGAAAGGCTGCAGGAGTGTGGTGTTGTCACAGGCTTTCTCTGAACACCTGTATGCATAGCAAGGGTGCTGCTTCTCAGCAGTCTTCTCTGAGGAAAGGGGAGCAAACCACTCGGGGATTGCATCCCTGGAATTAATCCCAGCACAGACTTTGCTCTCCTGCCCAGGGATCCTTTGTAGCCCAGCATGACTTCAGCTGGCAGTGCAAATTGTGACAACATGCCCAAACCTGGGAGGGAGGATGCTGCTCCAGTGGGTCCCCAAGGGCTGCTGGAGACATCCCTTGAGCTTGCTGATCTGCTCAGTCCTGGTGGCTGAACTGCTTTGGAAATGGTGTTAGACACCGGTGTGCCCAGAGTGAGCCTTTCACTCCCCCATGGATGTGATCATGCCTGTCCTCTCCCTGGCAGTGCTTGGTGGGACAGGAGAAGGGCAGCAGGGCAGAGCTGCAGGCTCTGGTGCACTTGGAGCTGCTGCTGCTCACCATCTTGTGCAAATCCGAGGGCATGACAAAAATAAAGTATTGGAAATCACATTAACAGAGCTCCAGGTAGCAGTTTGTGAAATAGCCAGTGACTGATGCATATGAACGACTAAACCCATTAGCTTTTCCTGCTCATATTCCCACTAATGATTTCCAATTGGTTTCTCTAATAAGGGAAGCCACACAAGGGAAGCAAAAACAAACCCATTTGGTCTGTGCTGAGTAAAGCTGCAGAAAATGGCACAGTTTTAATAATTGGATCTTTTTTCCTTGCCTTTCTTGCCCTGAAAGCATACAGGAAAACTGACAAAAGCCCTCATCTAATAACTGGCTTTGTGTCAGTGCTCTGTCCGAGGCACTGGAGAGACAAAGCCCTCCTTGGGAGCCCTGGGGCGAGCTGCAGGGATGCAGCCAGGCCACTTTGTGTCTGTGCCTTCAGCCCTGGGCTGCCACCACAGCTGTCACCTCCTGTGCCCCAGCCAGCCTCCCCAGCTGATTGCTCTGCACTGACACAAAGGGGCTTTGCCCTCAAAGGCAGCCCCTAAAAGCCTGCCTTGCTGCCAGGCTGGGGGTTTCTGTGGGACCCTTTTCTGCTCTGCCCCACCACCTTGGGTGGGTTCACTGTGTGGGTTTGTTCAGCCCTGACACCTTTTTTTGGTGTGTTCCTCTAGGTGTGTGTGACTCTGCCAGCTTCAGCAAGGTGCTTGTCCTTGGCCAGGTGTGTGTGTGACAGCTAACATGTAGGTTTTGATCTGTCTGACATCCCTTCCCAAAGCACCTGCCCACCTCTGGGTGAGCCCCTGCACTCAGCTCTGCTGTGGCAGCTTCCCAGAAATATCTGTGGATGGAGTTCCATCCAAAAGGCTGATTTTCCCAAATACTGTTTTCTATTTCTGCCTAATCACCATCACTAACCAAGCCTTCCATTTATGCCTTTTGTATATTTATGTAGGAAGAAGATGCATCAAATTCCTTTCTTAAGCACAACTAGGATTTAATCTGCTTTCTGAGACAGTTGGCATCAAGCTATTTTTAAGAGGCTGCAGTTTTCTCTTGAAACTTGCAGTTTGCCCCAGGAGAAGCCTGGTTGTGCTGGGGTCAGTGCTGCTGCTGCCACTGCCAGCTCTGCCCTTGGTGCTGCCAGGTCACCCAGGTGCTCTCTCCAGGTGATGCTCTCTGCTTGTATCTCTCTTCCCAGCTTGCTGCTTGCATCAGCTTTGCAAGGGGCCCCTGGGGACCCTCTACTCTCATCAAAAATGCAAAAATGGATGCTTAACTATATGTTTCTGCTGTTCCTAAAGGTGCTGCGCAGTGCTCGGGTCAGCCAGCTCACTGGGACAAAGGAGGTTGAGCATTGCCCTTAGTCAGGGACTTTGCTGCTGGTACTGCTCTTGTTTCAGGTGGGATGGTGCTGGAAAACTACAAAATTATTATTTACACGTCTGTGTAATGGGTTTATTTATCAGAGTTTGTCACTGGACTGAGTGAGGGGAGGTTGTTTCAATGTTGCACCCCCTGCACCCTGGAATGTGTCACCCAGTACTCAGGTTACCCTGTTTATGGTTATGTCTCAGAGCCCTAATTAAAAAAAAAAAAGTAATACAACAAACCTCAAGTAGACATATCCAGTTAATCTGATAAAATGTCAAAATACTTCTGTGTACAAGATAATCATCTGGAGACTTCCTATGAGTGCTCTCTGGGAATAATGGCAGCCTTGTTCAGGGAAAATACCTGGATAAAGCAGCACCTTTTGAGGCAGGGAAACATCAGGAAGATATTTGGATAAAACAACCTGCATCAGAAATCAGCTGTAGCTTTTGCTGCAGAGCTCCTCCCAAATAAATAACTGCATCCCAACATCACTAAAATTAAATTAACATCCATCTGCTACATGTAAAAATGGGTGTAGCCCCTGGTGCCCTGTGCAGTCCCCTCTGCACCAGTGAGGCTGTGAACTGATGTAATTAGAAACTGTCTTGAGAGGCAGCTCCAGGCAGGGCAGACAGTGATGGCTGGTGGCTGGACCAACTCTTCTTACACTTGCCAAGTGCCACTGTGCTTGGGGTTTTCATTTCTTCTACAAATACCAAACACAAATAACAAGCTGAAATTTTCCTTGCTGGAAGTCAGATTTGTGGTGGGTTTATTTACTGCTTATTCCAGAAGCAGTTTATTAATTCTGAACAGGAGAAAATAGAGTATTTTTCCTTATTAAATACTTCTGGTGATCCTCTTAGTATTATGATGTTGTTGGGGTTTGTTTGTCTGTTGCTTTTTCCCCTAACTGTTCTCATTTTGAGGCAAAACATTTATTTTTGGGGAGGGAATGATCCTGACATGGTAAACCTTTGTCTTGGGTTGTGACACAACAAATGGTGTTATTTCATTTCCATTGAGATTCTCTTTTCCTGTTTCATGCTCTTCTGGACAAAGAGACATCAGGAAACATGGCATGTAAGAATCATAAATTGGAAATCACTTCTTGCTGTAAGGCACAGCTTCAAACATGACTTTCTCCATTTCCCAACCATTTCCCAAACCTCAGATTGGGTTTTCAGCGCCCTTGTTCCCTATGCAGATTGTTAACAGTGCAACAATAACAAGGATTAAAAAAAAAATAAAATATATAAAAGCAGAGTTTCAATGCAATGAGTATTTTGCTTCAGGAACTCACTCTAAACCAGAAGCTGCCTTCAAGGCATTTTGCAATTGCCAGTTTTAGATTTTCCTACACCTCTGTCTCCCATCAGAGCCAGGGTTCCAATTGATCAGAAGCAGGATGATTGCATTAAATTCATTTTGAAGCTCATTTTGAGCTGAAATTGGAAACTCGAGACAATCTTTGCTCTCGAGAAACTAAGAGTCACTTTGTAAAGCTGTGAATTGAATTTAAATTCTGGTCTTTTCTTTCTTGGAATTGTCATTTTTCCCCCCAGTGCCTCCTCATTTTTATGAACAAAAGCTTGTGAGGTGATCACTTTTAGTACATTCTAATGGTTCTTGCAGGGAGATATTTCACTGTCTAATGTACCACTCAGAAGCATGAAGAATACTCCAGTGAAGAAGCTTATTTTCAAATTAAAAACAAACCTTTCCCTCTGTGCTTGGGGGGAAATGTTTCAGTTCTTGACTCAGGAGAGCAGCATCTAACTGGTGTTTTAGAAGTACTTATTAACAATAGATTATTAGTCTAAATCCTGTACGTTGAGCTCAGCTCAGCTGGTTAGGGCATGGTGCTGACAGCACCAAGGTTTTGGGTTTGATCCCCATATGGGCCATTCCCTTAAGAGCTGGACTTGATCCTGGTGGGTCCCTTCCAGCTCAGAATGTTCTGTGATTTAAGAGATCTGTGATTTAAATGCTTCTCACATTTGTGCCACTACAGATGAAATGCCTCAGACCAGAGGCAGCAAATGAGGACAATTTTATAAAAATTTCATGTGCACAGGAAGTTTCAGATAGTCTGGCTCAGATGCAGTTTATTCCTTTTCTTTGGAGAAAGAGCCTCCAGCTTATGCCTGAGAGGGGAAAAAAAAAAGTTTTACATGTTTCTCATGTTGTTTTGGATTCTTTTTGTTTCCTTTTCATTACCACGGCCACCTAATTGCTCCCTGTCCATGTGTGTTTCCTCTTCACCCCCCCATCATCTCTGCTGCATCCTTTCTGGGTTTCCCCTTCCATTTGTTTTCAGCTTCAGCCCCACTTCTGGGCCTACTGATCCCTATGTCCTTGTCCTAATTTCTTTCCCAGACTGAACTCATTTCCTTTCTTGGCCATATTTCTCCTGACCCAGTCCAAGCTTCCTTTACACCTGCCCAGAGCTGTTTTCCTGCCAGACCCCAAATAGAGGAGTTGTGCTCTGAAAGTCTCTTAAAAAGGCCAAGCACTGGAAGATAGAGAAAATGGTTTTGTTTGCTGCATTGTTCTGAATTCATTACAGCCTGTGTGGGTGCCAGTGAGGACTGCACCAGATCTTGGGTAGTATGTACCCTGAAAACATTCCTGAGCATAAAAGCACAGATGCAAAATTTCAATAAATTAATGTAGCTCAGTTGTGCTAATCAAATTATGTCTTACACCAGATGTGGATTTGATCCCTGGAGGAGGAGGATACCAGAGATTATGAAATGAAGCACATTGTGTTTGCTGGTTTGTTTGTGTTCAGTGCAATAAACTTCCAGAGCTTTGTTTTGCATTATGATGACATTGCTGGCACATCTGTACTTTATCCCACGGAAAAAAATCCTCCTAGTCTGCTCTGAGCACAAACTTCTCCATTTACACTGCCCTTTCTGGTTTCCTGTCTTGCACTTGGAACTTTGGTTTCTTTGCTCACTTTAATTTAAAAGTCCCCTAAAGGCTGGTCAAGCACAGAGCATTAACCCTGTTAAGACCTTGTTTTGACCAGGACTTGTAAAGTTTCATTCCTCACAGCTCCCCTTGCTTTAAGATTAGTTGGTGCAGTGTTTCCTACATTAGCCCTATGTAAAAAGCATCAGAGGAAACAACTTGGAAGTTCAGATGGCATTCAGATTGGAGCAGGAATCTGCAGCAAAAATCAAATTTTGTTTTAACTCTGGCTGAAGCAAAAGGCAAGGCATTCAGAGAATGGCCCTCTGCCCTCCTGCTTGTTGTGTGTGTCACCTAAGGAGGGTCACAGAGCTGCAGCTATCCTGTCTCAGGCTGGGATCTTGCCACATCTTAAAGGAATGAGGCTTTCAGGGCTGGTCTGCCTTTGGGAAGCTTCCAAAGAAAAGTTAAGTAAGTGCTAAAATGAGTGACTTTGGTGATTTAAGAGGTGGAACTTCCGTTTCTGGACTAATCTCCAGCCAAGGCCTCAGCATGGTGCTAAAGAGAATTATGCTTTATAGGTGTTATGTTTCTGAGGAAAGGAAAAATGGTGATCTGTTGGCTCATGACTTTATTTTCTGTCATTCTAGGATATACTGTAGGGAAGTTTCATTCCTTAAAAGGAGAGGAGAACAATTATACTGGGGACAGCTAAACTTCTGCAATAATTTGTTTTAAAAGTTGTAAGGTCTTTGAAATGCATCAGCTCAGCACTGTATTCTTATGATAGGTCAGGCATGGTAAATGTGGGCTATGGCCACTGCTTCTTAGTGATCCTTAATGAAACAGGGAACAGCATCCAGAAGAATAATTTGCAGAATGCAGCTTGGTACATAACCAAGTGTTCTTGCAAACCCTTTATACAACAAGCTGAAACTTCAAACCCTAGTTCTTGTTTCATTTTTTCAAGGCATTTTTGTATGCAATTCAAACCATGCTCCTGAGCTCAGATAAGTGGTACTTTGTGCAAGTTCTTATATTTTGACTTGATGCACTTCAATGGTCTTGCAAGATGCAGTTGATGGCTTTTTCTGGGAATGCATCCTAGTGCACTTTGTGTATGCAGGGACAGGTGAAAAAAATAGCTGAGGAAAAGTCACTGGCAGAATGAGTCTCATAACTTGTGTTGGTGTTATATATAATAGATATAGATAGATAGATAGATAGATAGATAGATAGATAGATAGATAGATAGATAGATAGATAGATATAAATGTGGGGAACAGCAAGGGGTCCCTGTTGGTTGTGGTAGAGGGAAATTGGCAGCAAGAGAAATTGAGGTAATTACAGGCCAAATATTTTTTTTTCCCATTTGAAAGAACAGCTGTAGTACTGAAAAATGTGAAATGTCAAAGTCAGGTAAACACTGATTTCACACTTATTTCCTGCTGATACATGTAGCCCAAACTGGGTCATGTTTGCAGTGTTGTCCTTGAGCAGATGCTCAATTCAGATGCTGAATTTGATATCTCCTGTTGGACTACACAGTGCCCAGTGCATTCCCTGCACTCCATCAGCACCTCTCTGTGATGAAGATCAGCTGCACCACTTCCCAGATGGCCACAGAACATCTCACAAAACTCATCTTTCTTCTTGGCACTTGAGGGTCAGGGGATGTTTTTGGAGTTGGAGGGAGTTTCTCTCTCTCTAAATACAAATGACCATTTCAATTCCAGCTCTTGGAAGTCATGGTTTCCTCTGGGGTGCAAGTCCAGAACACTCCAGTGATGAAAACCTTAAGGTTTAAAACCCCTGTGGAACAGGGGATTTGTTTGCTTCATTTTGCAGGGACTTCACCCAGCATCAGAGTTTCGCTGGCTGATGGGCTACAGGCACAGAGCAAGGCAGGTCAGCATGAGGAGAACTTGCAGAGGCAGCTGCAAGGCTTAAAAAAATGAAAAAAAGAGAAAGAAGCAGGGCTTTAGCAAAGCCTAATTCATCACCAGGCAGCAATCACAACAGTTTTATATAAATGCAGTCTGTGCAAAATGGAGCCATGGCAATTAAGCTTGTGACTTCTTTTTTTTGTTGTTTTTTTTTTAATGTGGCTGGAGAAGAGGTTTTAAATTGTGGTGTTTATAAAAGCCCACCCTCCTTCTGTTTTTAACATCCTTTCTGAATGTTTTACTGCTTCTTCCAAAATGAATTTGCCTCCATATGTCATAGCCATTCCCAAGGAGAGATGTCTGATAGTATTTAAGCCTATACATAAAACACTTGGGCTGTGATACCCATTCTGAATATTGTGGGGCTTAATGCCCACAGTCACCATACAAAACTCTGGTACTTCGAGATGTGTGCATACAGTGCAAGATGGAAATACAGGGTAAAAAATTCAGGCTGTCAGACTACTCTGATGGAAGCTGGACAGGCCACTTTTAGATGCTAAAAGAGACATAGAATGTGTTGTACTTAATAACTAGAAATTCTGTGGCTTCTTTTTTGCCTTGCTGCTTCAGTCTCTTAGTTCACAAAAGGCTTTACAAAATCAACATGCTGAGTTCCAACCAGATCAAATAGCAACATTAATGGTTATTGTAAACCAAAATGTGATATAAAAACTTTATTGCTTCCAAGATAACATAATAGCTCTACTTATAATAGGAAAAGCATTTGAAAAAAAGGATGAGAATCTTACTTATAAATCCATGGCTAAAGCTAAGAAAGTTCTTGTTTGCTGTTGAGGCAGTTCCAGATATTCACATGCCAACCTACATTATCCTGTTTCTTAGGCTGTAGGAAATTCCACTTACATCATTGACTTCCTGCCGCTGTGGAAAATAGGTTTTGGTAATGGTTCAGAGTTAGAATTATCCCTCACCTGCCTTGTGCTTCAGTTCTCCACCATGCCAGTTTAATTACCCAGAAATTATTAGTGCAGTCTTTCTCTTCCTTTCATTGCCCAGTATTTGTCTCCTATTTAACAAAATCAAGTTTTTGCAAGCCTGAGCAAAAGTGGGATTTAAAGCAGCTAATGCTGCTCCGAGGGAAAAAAAAAATAAAAATCTCGGTCTAAAAGCTCTACTGGCCACAGGGAATTCCTAAAGTGGGGAGGAAAATGTTGGTTTCTGCCACTGAGGAGGGCTGTGATGCCCATTTGCAGAGTTTTAAAGGCCAGTTACAATGCCTGCATTGCCTGAGCAGGGGGAGAAAGGTTTCTCACGATCTCATCCAACATGCAGCCATGAGCTGTGAGATTAGGATTGGTGCTGATAGGAGCTGCCCTTGCTGCCTGCTGACAGTTTCCAGAGGTATCAAGCTGCTGATACACCAGTGCCAGCCACTGAAGGATGTGGCAATGACCTCCAGTGAACCAGCTGGAGTGGGATTTTTACTTTTTGGTTGAGGCACTTGTGTGATTGAAGCAGGATAGATTAATACTGGTGGGTTTATGCCTTGTGCTTCATCCCCTCAGTTGCACTGTGGACAATGTGTATTTGTTGATTGTCTCTGGGAAGCAGAAGGAACAGATGAGAGAGCAAATAAGAAACAATTTTCACAGAGGAAAAGAGATGATCTTGATGGTACTGGCAGTAATTTGTGCTTTTTGCTATAGTTCATACATTTATAGTATTATCAAGGATTTCTTAAGGCAACACAACAGTAAAGGCAGCTGATCTTCCTACCCCTTGGACTGCTGAGAAGAGATGCAGAGCCTAAAATGGCAAATATTATCCTTCCTTGAGAGTAAGTGCTTTATTGGTTTTACATTCACACACCCAACAATGTATTTCAGGAAGGTGAGCCTTACCTTAGATCTGGAATAAATATTTATGGGTGTTTATGGTGAGAATTTTGCATCTCCTGCATTCCCAAGCAAGGGCACTTCCACATGAGCAGGAGGATCCATGTTCATCCATTCCCACCCCCCTTTTTTTGGGTTTGCTTTACATCTGACATGCTTGACAGAAGCTCCTTGCAAGGGCAG